CCTTTCTGAAGAAGGGTCTAGGCCCGAAACGTCAGCTTTCCTGCTCCTCTGATGCTGCTTGGCCTGCTGTGTTCATCCAGCTCTACACCTTGTTATCTCAGATTCTCCAGCATCTGCAGTTCCTACTTTCTCTGGGCAAAGAGTACAACTCATTAGGACATTAATTTGTGTGGATCCAGAGCATGTAGGTCAGGTTCTAAATGAATACTGGGTGTTGATGTTCACTATTGAGCATGCTAATGTGGGCATAGAAATCAGGCAGAAGGAATGTGATATACTTAAAGAAATTAGTGTGGACAGAGGAAATTCTGAGTTATCTGGCAGGCTTAAGAGCAGATAATTTTCCAAGGCTGGATGAAACGTATCCTATATCGTTGAGTGAGGCAAGGGAGAAAATAGCAGGGTTGCTGGCAACAATTTTCACTTTCTCTCTGGGCACTGGAGAGGTGCCAGAAGACTGGAGGCCAGCCAATGTAGCACTGTTATTTCAAGAAGGGAGCAAAGGATAAATCTGTGCTTGGAGAGGTAGAGATTAATCAAAAACAGTCAGCATGGTTTTGTTAACAAGAGGTTATGTCTGACCAACTTGACTGAATTTTTCAGAGGCGACCAGGTGTGTAAATAAGGACAATGCAGGTGACGTACTCGACTTGGACTTCAGCAAGGCTTCTGTTAGGTCCTGCCTGAGAGACGAGAGTCCATGGGATCCAAGAGAATTTGGCTAATGGATCCAGAATTGGCTGAGTGATTGGGCACATGCAGTATAACGTGAATAAATGGGAGGTTATCCACTTTGGTAGCAAAAATAGGAAAGCATCTTGTTATTTAAATGGTTGTAGTTTGAGAGGGGGGAATGATTAATGAGACCTGGATATGCTCTTGCACCATTTGCTGAAAGTAAGCGTGCAGATGTACCAGATAGGAAAGAAGGCAAACTTCATGTTGGTCTTTGTGACAAGAGGATTTGAGTAAAGGAACAAAGATGTCTTGCTGCAGTTGTACAGGACATTGGTGAGGCTGCATCTGGAAAATTGAGTGCAGTTTTGGTCTCCTTATCTGAGGACGGATCCTCTTGCAATAAAGGGAGTACAGCGAAGGTGTACCAAATTGATTCCAGGGATGACAGGACAGATATGAGTGGAGATTGAGTCAGTTAGGGTTATATTTGCTGAAGTTTAGAAGGATGAGGAAGAATCTCACAGAATCCAATAAAATTCTAACAGGATGAGACAGGTTAGATGCAGGAGGGATGTTCCTGATGGTGGTGGAGTTCAGAACCAGGGGTCATATGGGCATATGGGGTAAATCTTTTAGGACTGAAATGAGATATTTCTTCACCCATAAAGAGTGGTGAGCTTGTGGGATTTCCTATCAAAAAAGGGTGGTCGAGGCCAAAACATTGAGTGTATTCAGAAAGGAGTTAGATGTAATTCGTAGGGCTAATAGGATCAAGGGGAGAGCAGATTTGAGCTTAGCCATGATCTTATTGAAATGGCAGACCAGGCTTGAGGGGTTGAATGGCGTACTTCTGCTCCTATCTTGTTTTGTTTCTAAGCAGAGGGCGATGGTTAGGAGATGTTTTTGTGACTGGAAGCCTACGTACAGTGGGGCTCTGCACTGATCAGTGTTGGGGCCTTTGTTGTTTGTGCCATATGTAAATGGTTTAGACTTGAATGTAGGGAGCTGGGAGTTTCCCAGATACTACAAAAATTGATGGTAAGTAATGAGGAGGATGGCGTTAGCTTGCTGGAGAATGTAAACTAGCTGTTCTGATGGGCTGATCAGTAGGAAATGGAACTCAATCTGGATAAGTGTGAGGTGATGCACTTGAGCAAGACAACCAAGGTAAGGGAATAATTAATGAATGATAGGATCCTGGGAAGCACCAAGGATCAGAAGAACGTTGATGTGCGTGTCCACTGGTCCCTTAAGGCAGTGAGATACATTGACAAAGTGGTTAGGAAAGCATATGGAAGCAGAGTTTAAGAGGAGGGAGGTGATGCTGGAACTGGATAAAAACTTGGTAGGCCACCACTAGAGTCCCCTCTGCTCTCCCCCTCCCCCGCTCCCCTCTGCTCTTCCTCCTCTTCCCCCACCCCCACGGCTCCTTCTGGAGCAAACATCCCCTACCCCCAGCTTCCCTTGCCCACCTTCCCCTCCCACTTTTCTCCTCCCTCTCCTCTGGCTCTGTCTCATTGTCTGTTTTCCCTTCCCCGACTCTCATACATTTCCATTTTCTGTTTTTCCAAAATCACACGTCCTGTTTGTTAACGTCCAACTCTATATCTAGTTGCAAATGAATTGTTAATTGGGCTAAAAGACCTTTAACATTTTGCTATTTTCCCCTAATTTCACTGAAGTGTTCTCTGTCCCTTCCCATCTCATTCTGCTTGTCTTTATCACAAAATTACCAATCTGGCCTTTAGTCTTGACTTGTCTTATTTATGAATTTACCCTAACCTGAATCATCACTCAGACTATGACTCATTTTTCATTTATTGCCCTATCTATACACCTAGTCGTTTGGCTTTCAAACTAGTCCAATTTAAATGTAGCCCCCTCTTTCTAAAGTACTAATGCCTGAACCCCTTGAGTCAAAACATGTGTTTTGTACCACCTTTTTTACCATATGTTAATTTCTTTGATGTGTTTTACCTTCTACTAGTTAGTCTTTGAGTTTGATAGTCAGAGACTTATGACTTTTTGAAGTTCTGCTTTTTAATTTGTACACTATTCCAAACTTCAGCAGAACCTCATTCATCATTTCATTAATGTCATTAGTCCCTGTGGTAAATGGTTTGTGATATCACCCTCTCCAGCGGTGTATAATAATGTTTTTGAACAGGTTGATTAGAAAAATTCTGCAAGTTAGCCATAATCTAATTAAATGACTGAGCAAGTACTGAATTGCTCTTGTCTCTGTTCCAAAGGCAGCATGGCTAATTGGTTTTCTTGAACCTAACTGCATCAACATAAGCCAGTTGGCTGCTTGTCTAAGTAAATAACTTTAATGCCGCTTTGTGTACATAGTAACATGCTGTATGATGTTCTTTTCCTTTATAAGTGTAGATGTGTTCCCAACTCAGTAATGGATACATTCTCACCTCAAATGATTAGTGGAAGGGACTGATTTTGTAGGGAAGAGTGAAACTGTTCAGTCTGCTCTGTCTACCACTACTCTATCTTCCATTAGCTTTCAGGTCAAACTCCTTCTAAAGTTCCCCCCTGCATGATACTTCAACTCTGATTTTTCTATACTTTCTCTCCTATTTCTGCTCAAGTCCACTCTGAGTTTATGTTGTCCACAGGGCTCACCTCTTGTTCCCTCAACCGTGTCCGCAGTGAATTGCTGCGCACCTAATTTCCCTTCCTGGCCCTTGTTTAGGTCCTAATGTTATTCGTAGAATTCTGTTTCTTTAGGTGTTATGCCCCCACCCTCCTACCCCCCTATTTTAATATTCAACCATCTTTGCTGTCCTCAAACTAACCCTTAACTCCAAATCCTTGAACATGTTGTCACATCCTGAATCCCTGTCCATCTCCCTGAACTACATGTTTGAAAGCCTCCAATCAGCTTTCTGCTTCAGCAATAACAAAATGGTTCTCATCAAAGTCAAAAATCATAATCTGTGTGACTGTAACAGGTAAACTATCCATCCTTTACCTGTCGGCAGCTGTTGTTCACACTGCTTTCCTCCAGTGCATTTCCACTGTTATCTAGCTGGGTGCTGCTGCACTTGTCTGGTTCCATTCTTATCTGTTTAATTATTATGAGAGTGGTGCTTTCTTTGGCTTATTTTCTTACTGTAATTGTTACCTTTGGTGCTCCACAAGGATTATTCTTTGCCACTCCTTCCCACTCAAATTTTGGGCTGCTCACCAGTGATGTCACCCAAAAACAGCATTTGTTCTCACGAGTGTATTGTTCTAATTCTGCCTTACCATCCTAACTGCTGATTCCATCCCTGGCTCCTGTCTGAAGCTAAAGCCAGGCTGTTTTCAGTCTTGACATAGTTGATCCTAAAATGAGGTTCTAACACACATTCATGTCATCACTAAGACTGCCTTTTCACATCCATAATGCCATCCACATCTGTCTGTTCTTCAGTTCATCTTTTGCTGAAATTTTCATGTATGCCTTGATTGCTTCTAAACTTAATTATATAATGCATTCCCAATTGGCCACCTGCATTCCATCTTCCGAAGATCTGAAATAATCCAAAACTTTGCTGTCCTGAGTTCGTACTTATACCAAGTCCCATTCAAATATCATCATGGCACTCACTTATCTATATTGAAGCAGTGTCTCAATTTCAAGTTGTGCATCCTTCTATTCAAACTTTTCTGTAGTCTTTCCTCCTCCTATCTCTTAAATCTCCTCAAACCCCACAACTGTCCAAAATAGATGCTGTTATCCAATTCAGATCTCTAGAGCATTCCTTATTTTTTATTGGTCCACCTAAGGTGACCACACTGACAACTGCCTATGCCCTAAACTGCAGAGTTTGCTCTGTAAATCTGTCTGTTTTTAAACACCATTCATTCTCCTAGATGCTCATTGAAACCTACTACTCTGGACAAGCTTTTAACCATGTTCCCTAATATTTGCTTCACAGTGGTCCTCTGAAGATTTTAAAGTGTGAATGCTGTTTTGTAAAATTGTTGAATTGCTTAGCCATTGAATTTAATTGACAACAAGCAACAGCAAAACAAAACTCATCCAATCACCCCCTCCCAAAATAAAATTCTGTAGGGCACCAACGTGGACTGTCACAAACTGAATGGAATTAGTTTATAATCATGAAACGTTACGAGAAAAAGATAATCTTTTTCTATAGAATAAGGTTATGTTAGAAATAGCTGTAAAAATGCCCTTGTTGAAGTCTCAAGCCTCAAAGCGTTTACAGGTTTATCTCTGTTTATGTGAAGTGATCCTGGCTAATAGATTATGGTTCTGCCTGTCACACAATTTAGAGTTCTCCCAAGGTGTATCACATGGGACGAATGGAGACCTTATGCAGCATTGATTTGATGAGAGACCAGGGAATCATTTTGACCAGAGCATGCAAATCAGACTTTGTTTCAAAGTCATAAAATCCGTTTAAAAATTTTGAGAAAGTGTACATTTGCAGACACAGTTGGTGCAGACATAACATTATGAATGTGCCTTTATGGACTCTACATTGTTACAGAATTGCATCTTTTTGTTCTATTTATATGGATGATAGTAATTTTGATTCTGGACTTAGCTGCTGGTAACTTGTGAAAGATTTGTAAACTTTGAAATTTGGAATGATATTGATGAATTTGCAACATTCTACACTGAGTACCGTTGCAACATTGTTTAAGGAGGGGAATAAATGTAAAGAAAAACACATTTCTAGGGCTGTTCTCGGTAGGAAGTGAGTTCCTCTGTACCAGTGATCTATATTTATTTGTGTAATACTGGTACATATTTATTCAGCTGGATTTGATAAAGCGAGTATATGTCATTTAGAAAGCAATCAAGAAATTTACTTTTGGGTGATCCTTTTCAACATTGATGTGCATTCTGTCCCCTTGCAGCTGTATATTTTGCAACAAATTGAGCAGAACTACTGTACACTATGTATCATTGAAGAAATCTGAGTTAGAAAAGTATAGCATTTTTATCTGTTTCAATGTTTGACTTATGGCTCAAAATATAGGTCTCAGTCCTTTAGTTTTCCTGTTGCAGGCAGAAATAAGTTAAACGTCACATTATTCAGGCACAAACATGCAACTTAGTTGTAGCTATCTGTTAAAATAATGATCAGCAAAAACCTCTCAAAGGGACTGATTTGGAAAGTTCATTTCTGACCACCATCATTGCTTGTTTCTCTGACTGGTTTGGTAAGTATAGCCGAATAAATAACTTGCTTGAATTTATGAAAGAATCTCAAAATATTTCGAGCAAGAGAAAAGTTCTCCTGAGTACTCCTGGTCAATATTAATCCCTCAAGTGTTTTTACAAAACAAAACCTCTATTTTCTCCAGTGTGCTACTTTTCTCATTTTACTGTATAAACAGATTATTCAGTTGTTATCTCATTCCTGTTTTGGGATCTTGTAATTCATGAATTGTCTGCCACATATCCTGCATTGCAACAATGGCCATACTTCAAAAGTATATCACTTCCAAAGTTAATGAAAGATTTTATATAATTGCAAGTCCTTTTATATCAAGCCTAAAAAATGTAAATTTTACCTAACATGATCAATGATATTATTATATTGCTGTTTGCTGCCTGGGGCTTTTCTGTCTTGAAGGCATGGAATACTCAGTTCAAGCTTGCAACTTTATTTTCCTGTTCTCTAGTTACATTGCAGCCAGCATCTATATTCTGCTGTGGCATTTAAGCAGTCTAGAATCTTATTGACTTTTGGCTCCATTTCCGTTTTTTTTAACTTGTAGTCTCAATTCATCTTCTATGGGAACCCTCATTCATGTCTTTGTATCTCTAGTTTGAATATTCCAAAGTACTCCTTGTTGGTATCCCACAAGCTTGAGAACATCCAAAACTGCCCATTTCTTAACTTGCAGCAAGTCCTATTCACCGTCACCCCTCCTGACCTACATTGGCCCCAGTCAAACAATATCTTGATTTTGTTTCTGTTCTATTTCTAGCTTCTTGAGCAGCCCTGATTTTAGTCACTGTATTATTGGTAGCTGTACTTTCAGTTGCCTCAGCCATAAACTCTGAAATAAGCCATTGTGGCTTACTGCTTTTCTTTGAGGCACTGCTTAAAATTTACCACTTTAACTGATTAATATCATCTTTTGTAGCTCGGTATGTCATACTTGATAATATAATGCTTCTGTAACGCAGCTTAGTATTTTTAATGTTAAATCGGCAACATAAATATTACATTGCAGTTTGGCATCCCTGTTGTTCCAAGCCCTTTTTAAACTTAATTCTTTTTTTAAAAGTTTTTTTCATCCCGTTTACAATTCACTGAATCACATAATTGTTGCAGTGCAGAAGATCGCTGAATGGTGAATAATTATTGTAAAAAATGTCAGTGCAAGGAGTGAGTACTAACATGAATTGTAAGGACAAAGGGATAGCCCGTTAAAAAGGGAGGAAACGGGTGAAAGAGCACACAAGGGAAAATAAATTCATAAATGCTGAGCATCAAAACTAATTGCATGCATTTCATATATTCAGAAACACATTGTGATAAATGCAGGGCAGTGCCGTGAAATATCTGCAATTATTCATTGAACAAATTATTTTAAAGTAATAATGTTCTATTACTTTATTATTATTCAGATGTAAACATGTTCTTGTATAAACTTTTTAAAGTTGATGAAGTTTGCCAAAATTGTTTTTCTTCCTCCATTTAGTTATCCTATCCAAAGTTAAAATTATTTTTGCTCCATGAGTACCCCCCAAATACACATGGTTCTGTAAGGTATACACTGTTTTCCTTATCTAGTTTTTCTGTTATGCTGCAACTTGTTGTTGTTTGACTATCAGTCTCTGTGCTGCCAATCACTGTTGTTGAAATAACTATATTTCAATAAACTTCTGATCACTATACTGTAAAAATTTGAGATGGGAGCATAACACTTAATAGTTACTGTAGAAACATTACAGATGCTAAAAATGAAATATCATTACAAAGGAATGACACCCAGTCGTTATGGTATAATCTTAATATTTGGAAATATTCCATACATGAGAACAAAACAATGTGCTCAGTAGCAGCATTGTGTGTGATGTTTTTGACCTTCCATGCTGAAAACCAAAAAGATTTTTATTCTTGGAAATGAAACCTCTTCAATTTAATCTGCTTTTTTTTTTCTATACATTTGCTATTGAAGTACTACTTTCTTTTTTCAAAACAATATTCTTAGGTTTCAATAAGTTTTGTCCTCCTTTTAAAAAATTTTCTGGCTAAGAGAATAGTTTTTTTACATTTTAAGCTGCTTATGGAAATCTGTGCTGTGATTGCTTTTGATTTTTTGCTCTGTGTAGGAAAGTACTCGAACCCGGCTAGCTGCTAGCTTGAGTGGCACAAACAAAATTCACACCATGCTATGTGGAGAGTCATGGACTAAAAACCCACAACATGCCATTCCTGACATTTTCCCAGTATACAGATTGGTTTTGTATATAACTATAATATTCCAGAGTAAATTGGACATTCACTTATTGAAGTGGTTCATTTGTATTTAAATGTATATCCACAGTGTAAACCAGAATACAAAGTCCCAGGGCTGTATGTTATCGACTCAATTGTGCGTCAGTCTCGTCATCAGTTTGGTCCAGAAAAGGATGTGTTTGCACCCAGATTTTGCAAGAACATCAATACAACTTTCCAAAACTTGTACAAATGTCCTGCTGATGACAAGGTATGTGGTTTTCATAGTCTGTATAATGTATTGTGATCTAATGCACTAAAAATAAACTAATGATATGAATTCCTCAGTCTTTTTTTGAATTTAATAAATTCAGCTTGGCTGATGCTACTTTTTTATTGAACCATACCACCTAATTCATTTATCAAGTACAGCCTGGATAATTTATAACCACTTTGTTCCCTGGCTAACATCTCTATCTCAGGCCTGCTGCAGTGTTCCAACGAAGCTCAGTGCAAGCTGGAAGAACAACTCCTCGTTTTCCACTTGAGGACCCTGCAGTCCTCCGGACTCAATATTGGGTTCAATAATTTTAGGGCCTGAACTCTGCCATGTCCTATCCCCCTACCCCACGCACCAGACCTTGTTATCACATCGTCTGCCATTACACACTACTTATTGTTAGCCATTAACAGTCTCCATTAAAAGCTGTTCACCATCCTAGCCAGATCGTTATCTACTCATTTGTCCGACTGTTCTTTCTCTTTGGGCTCTATCCCCACCTATCATTTACTCCTTACCCCCTCCCCCCACCCTATCTTCTGGATATAAATCAACATTTCTTAACTACCATCAGTTTTGAGGAAGGATCACCGGACCTGAAACGTTAACAGGCTGGCTGTAATAACAGGAGTTTGGAGCAAAGCCAGTTGAGCCTTTTGGAAAAAAAAATTGGATGAAATGGAAGGCTATTCCAAGTATTTTCTTAATTTCAGTATTGGGCATAAAATCCCAGAAATTCGTATATCCTAGGCATCCAGTTTTCTTTTTTGGCAGTTTTAAAATTCCAAGTTTTGACAAACAGGTAGGAAAGTGAAGAACCAATTCACTTTGTAAAATCCAAGTTGGTTTTCATGGAAAGCTTTTTAATGTTCCAAATCACTGTTGACAATTGAAAATTAATGATCCTTCCCTATTTTCACATTGTGCTCCATGTCAGTTGCTTACTGGACATTAATGAAAATGTCCAGATGAGTAGTGTCCTCTATGATGTCAACTTTTTGAGCGGCTTGAGTATCTGTTGGTTGTTGGTAGTCTCCTGTTATCTTTTATTTTATGCTTTCTTGATGTTTACACTTAGTCCCACTGTTTGAGCCTGAGTACTGAGTTGATAAGCTGTTGCAACCCTGTGTGCCATCTTACATAAATGTTAAGATGCTGGACTGATTCAGGCAAGTTTAACTGTGGTGGAAATACTGAATTGTTCCCTGAACGATCTGACAGCATCCACTGGTGGAGTAGCAGTTATCCTTGATAGAGGTGCAACTGTCGTACATAAAATGGGCTCCAGTGTGTGAAAATACTTATGATAGTGAAATTTGTAAATCAGTTGCACATGTTACCATGGGAAAACAATATAGGATAAGAGTTTTATGAACAGTTTTAAGACTATTTAGACAAGATTTTTAGGTAACATGAATGCGCAAATTGGTGCAAACAGGACTGGGTTTCAGAAATTCTAGGCCCCCATGGAAATGGAAGATGCACAAATAATAGAGATCACTTTGTATAGTTCGTTCCACAAACAATGTCGAGTTTACTCTTCACATTCACACACACAGACATCCACAGAACTACATCAGCTTTGAATGTCAGCAGAACTCCAGTCAAATATCCATTAAGCATATTTGCTATAGAGTTGAGTTGGAGAACTGCAAATTATCAGGATGTTAGAGTATATAGTGCGACAGACATTCCGAGGACACCATTTGGGGATGACGTACATCAAGCTGAGGACGCAGAGCAATCAATCAGAGGTTGGAAAGATTTTGATATTTGCGAGCTTGGTGATAATAAAACTAATTACCCTAAGAAGCAGATTTAATGTCCTGTCCAATTTCAAGCCTTGAATGGTAGACTGGTGGAAAAAACTGAAGGTAGCAATTCAAGCAGCAGGGGAAGAGGTATTAAAAGTTTTTGAAGGAAATGTGAGTCAGTGACCACACATGGGATCTTAATGCAGAAAGTGGAATTGGAAACTTGGGCCTTCTGTCAGACTTATATAAATAGGAGAGGGGGGAAAAGGATCAACAAACCAGCAGAAGGTGCAGTTACTTACAGTAACAGTCTTACTTTGGGAAAGTTTTAATGGCTGGCATTCTGCAGTACTATGAATGACAGGTTGATAATGTGGGGAGCACAAGCATCAAGCTACATCTTGACATTTTTATAACTGAATGAACACACTGCCAAGATGATTCCTTAATATGTGAACATGTAAGAACTATGCTCGGCATTTAAAGAAAGCAGTGTTTTTATATGCAAGATAAATCTAACAATTTTCACTCTTTTTCATAATCAAGCCTGGACTCTTAATCTTTGATTTACTACTGCATTTGATCCATCTAACCATTGGATAAATTTTAAATACAGTTAGTTTCCCAAAATCACTTTTGGTTTTATCTGGAACAGAGGTGCTGGAGAGAGGAAAGAGTTTACACAGTTTAATGACTAAGAAACAAAACTTTCTTTCAAGCTTCTGTCACCATTCTAATCGAAATGGAAACAAATAATGTAGATGTTGGAAAATCAAATAAAATTAGGAAATGCTGGAAACACTATGCAGGCCAAGCAAAACGAAATAGTTAACCAAGTTGAAGACCTGTCATCGGCTGTATGGAGATATGATGAAAAGTCTTTACCGTGAAATATTAGCTCTCCCTCTTTCTGTCCAGATGCTGTCTATCTACTCTAGTTCAGGTTCTGTTTTAAATGACTGCTTAGCCACTTCTGGTAAAGTTCCACGTTGTGATAATCCTCTTCACAAGTATGATTTTTCTAACTCATTATATTCTTCTTGTTGTAGTACTTGGGATCTTTGCCAGGGCTTCCCAAGTTGTTGTTTGAAACACCCAATGGAGTTGCCAACTGAAAATTTAGGGTTGCAAGATATAAGGCAACAATCGTTCCTGTGGAGCTCTGGCCAATTGCCAATGGCTTGAAGCTCTTTAAAGCTCATTAAATTGTGATCATGGCCCAAGTAGCAGATCTTTGATCCTAGAAGTGTGAACTTTGTCCCAGCTACCACCACTGTCAGGGGTCCTCCCTTCAATCCCACTGTGAGAGATTTGTTGCCTCCTATCCCAAACCCCAAAGCAGTTGTCTCTGGCAGAGGTGGTACAGTGGCTCAGTGGTTAGCACTACTGCCTCACGGCACCAGGAACCCGGGTTTGATTCTACTCTCAGGTGACTGTCTGTGGAGTTTGCACATTCTCCCCATGTCTGCATGGGTTTCCTGCAGATGACCTGGTTTCCTCCCACAGTCCAAAGATGTGCAGGTTAGGTGGAATGGCAATGGAAATTGCAAGGTTACAGCAATAGAGTGTGTGGGGGAGGGGGGGGGGGCGCGGTGGGATGTGTGTGTGTGTGTGTGGAGGGGAGTGGACCTGGGTGGGATTCTCTTTGGAGGGTCTGTGTGGACTCGATGGGTCAGATGGCCTACTTGCACAGTGTAGGGATTCTATGATTCTGGGAATTCTCCCTGCCTCATGTATACTCCCACCACACACACTGATCTGGGGTCATAGTAGTTATACCAAAATGGGATCATAATGAGAAAAGGTTCAGGAAGTAACAGATCTGTTGCTCCTGATTCACAGAATTGTTACAGCACAAAGGAAGCTATTCAGCCCCTTGGGTCTACTCTGATTTTTCAATTGAGCATTATGACTTAGAGTGATTTGCCTGATTTTTCCCATATTATAGCTCATTTGAACTTATTCAAATAATCATTCAATGTTCTCTCAAATGCTTCAACTAACTGCCTCCTCTGCACTTCCAGGCATGTTCATCCAGACACAAACCACTCACACATTGTGTGAAAACATTTTTTCTCTCATCACGTTTGCATATGACTATAAATCTATATGCTTTGAGTCTGGATCCTTTGTTGATCGGGAACAATTTCTCCATATCTGCTCTTTAAACAAATGTAAACAAATATTTCACTGTTTTTCAAGGCTTTTCACAATTTTGAAATTGTTATTGCGTCCTTCCTTTAAGCTTTTCAATTCCCTCCTCTGTTATTGAATAGTATATCTCTCTTTTTCTGTATAGTATGTCTATGGCAAGTTAGTATTTTAATCACTAAATGAGAGCTGATGACAGGTTGAGTGGAAGATTGCAGTGTGTTTCTAGTAGGTCACTACGTTTGCAGTCTATAGCCTCTTAACAGCTGCATTTTGCATCTCTAGCCAACAGTCGCTTTGTGAATATGTTCCCTTAAAGTGAAGATTTCCAAATAACTTGCTCTTTGCAGAAATATCTAATGTTCGTTTATTCCTGCCTACACACCAGTTTGATTTCAATTATGATATCAGATCATGGAAAGACCTGAGCCATAACTCGAGTGAGGAACACAAGCAAAAATGTAGATGTTTTTTTCATAAATCTGTTCAGAGATGCTATTGCATCTGGAGCAGATGGGACTAGAGAACCTGGGCCTCCTGGCTCAGAGGTAGGACACTACCACTATACCAAAGAACCCCACTAACAAAAGTGTATGAAGTAAACAGACCACGTAATTAAATAAAATCTAAGTCTGTCCGGATGAAGCTGGTGTGTGTACCTTTAAGATTCCAACTGCAAGTCATAAAAATTTACGCAAGAAGAGTACTAAAATTTAGTAGGTTTCTAAAGACACTGAAAATGGATTCTTCAAAGCAATGTTTCTGACTTGTGCATTCGCTCCCACTCAATATATACACCTTCTTTGTGTGGAATGCCTGCTTGGGGAGGTTACGGGTTTGTTGTAGAATTCAGGAAATGAATGTCCAACTCCATTCACTTGATGGACTCATTCCAGCAGCCTGGAACTTAGCATGGACCACATCTGGAATTATCTGGTCACATGTGGTTAAAAATTAGTATGCCTCCTCATTCTTGATGTATGCTAGATGCAATGTATGGAAAAATATTTGTGGTAGTTTATGAAAGCCTATTTGTCAAAATGTGTAGGTCTTTATTGTGCATATGCATTCCTGCTAACTGACTGAAATCTGCATTTAAATGATTTCAAGATGAATTGGTATGTGTAGAAAACTTATCGGTTTACGTACCATGCTAGCTTCAATTAGTTTTTTTCCCCATTGTAAAGATGTTCCCGAAAGGATAGCTGGAGGTCACTGAAGATAGTGGGAAATGGCAAACTGTTCCTTCTGTATGCTCCCAGAAGGAACAGGAGGGTTCAAAGCAGCACCATAGCACTACTACACCCTGTCCCTCCTGTATCTCACTGCCTCATGTACTGGAGTGAAGTAAGGGCATGCTTCTGCAGCAGTCCATTTAAAGGTGCTATTTGAGATTGAGGTACTTGCCTAGAATGGCTAGAATGCAGAAAATGGTCCTGACCATGTATTATATACATATGTGGAGAGTTATATCATTGTTACAGGTTGGGAATATGGCCATTAAACCATTATGTCTGTGCTGGCTCTCTGCATGATTAATTCAACTAGCTCCATTCCCTGCCCTTTCCCTTTGGTATGATAATTGTTTTTCTTCTGGTTTCTTTCTGCTTTGAAAGCCACAGTTAAATCTTGCTCCATCATACGTTAGAGAAATATGCATTTTAGATCCTAACCACTGGCTGTGTTTAGAAAACAAAAGTTCTTTATGTTGCCATTTTTTGTCACTCAGCTTAAACAGATGTCCTCTGATTGTTGAATTGTTAGCCAAAGGGAGCAGTTCTGCTCTACCTCAACCCTCCAAAAGGATCTCTTATCAAATTTCCTCCAAATCTTTTCTTAAGAAAATCAATTCCAGCTTCCCTAATCTCTCTCCCTAAATTGAAATCCTCATCCTTGGTACCGTTCTCATAAATTCTAAAGCCCTTCATATTTGTTCTGACGTGCAACGCCCAGAATTGGATCCCAGTTGAGGTTGATCCAGTGTTCTCCAGATGTTCTTCATCAGCCCGTTATAAAGCCCAGGATTTCATATGTTCAAGCTATCTTGCCACCTTCAGCGATTTATGCATGGCCTGTCCAGTATCCGTTCCCCACTTTATCAGTTTATATTACATAATCTCTTTCTTCCAACCCAGTGCATCATTTCATACTTCGTTGTGTTACATTTTATGTCTCGTGTGCCTAATTCACCAGTCTCTCTCTGTCTTCAAGACTGTCGCTATCATCCTCATAGTTTACAATACTTCCAAGTATTTTTGTCATCTGCAAGTTCTGATGTTGACACCATGTCTGGGCCATTAATCTATATCAAGAAAAGCTGTGGCTACAACTTACCCGAATCCTTTTTAGTTTCTTGATGACCACAGGTCCACCAACACTCTCGAAGCTCAACACAGTTTTAGAAAAAAGCAGTCTATGTAATGGACACCTCATCCACCACTTTAAATAATAACTTGTTCCACCACTGTTGCATAGTGTTAGCAGTGTGTACTATCTACAAAATGCATTGCAACATATTGCCAAGTATCCATCAACAGCATCTTCGAATCCCTCACCTCCAACGGTTAAGGGCTGCAGATGCATGGGAACAGCACTGCCTAGAAGTTCCTCTCCCAAGTCACACACCACCCTGACTTAGAACTATGTTGTAGTGTCTTTGTTGTTATTGGATTAAAATTCTGGAAGTCCCACCATAACGGCACTGTGCATTGTGTAGACTACTGCAGTTCAAGCAGATAGCTCACCATCGCCTTTTCAAATGAATTTAATGATGTGCAATTAATATTGGCCTCACAGGTCATACTTGCCTCTCATGAATGAACAAAAACAGTCCAGGGAATGATTTTAAAAAAAAAACCCTAGAGCATCCCACTGTCTCTTCCTCCAAAAAACAACTGTCCACAACTATTGTTTCCTGCTATTCAGCCAACGTCACCACTGTCCCTTTTACTGCATGTGCAACTTACCTTCCAAGTCTGTTAAGTAGCACCTGATAAAGTGCCTTTTGGAAGTCCAGAGAGACTAAATTTTGATTAAGTCAAAATATTGACTTGATAGAGGTGTACAAAATGATCAGAGGTATAGATAGACTAGATAGCCAGATACTTTTTCCTTGGGTGGAGGTAGCTTTTACGAGGGGACATAGTTTTAAAGTGAAAGGAGGTGGATATCAGGGAGACGTCAAAGGTAAGTTCTTTACTCGGAGAGTGGTAGGGGGTGGAATGCATTGCCAGAGAGGGTAGTGGAGGCGGCCTCATTAGGGGCATTTAAGCGGCTATTAGATAGGCATATGGATGATAGTATAATGTAGCGGTGGAGGTTAGATAGACCTTAGGTTTCGGGTAAAAGTTCGGCACAACATTGTGGGCCAAAGGGCCTGTACTGTGCTGTGCTGTACTGTTCTATGTTCTAAATCAACGGCATTGCCTTCATCAGCCCTATTTATTTTCAGGTCAAATAAAAAACCTCATTCAATTAGTTACAGGATTAGCTCCCTGTGATATAACTTGAAATATAACAATCTGGGTACCCTGCTATTTTTCTGAGCAATGTGCAGAGGCTTTTGAATTGATATGGCATCTGCCAAAAATAGTTTGTATGCTACTGAAAAACATTAACTTTTTTACATGGAAAAACGAAAGTATACTTTGGGAAGAACATTTCAATTACAGGTAAGCACTGAAATTTATAATGGGCAGAGATGAACAGATTTCTTGGGATTTCAGCTCATTCTTTATGAAATTTTTGTTATTCAGTGTGTGCAGTGGCTAAACATCTGGTGGTTATTAGTAGCTCTAACATTTGGCCGATCTGTGTTTTTTACAGAGTAAAGTAGTGCGCGTACTGAACTTGTGGCAGAAGAATGGAGTGTTCAAAAGTGAGATTATACAGCCACTTCTGGACCTGGCAGCAGGGATTCCACCACCCTCTGTCACCCCTGCTGTTGCCAGTACTACAGCAGCAACTGTGAGCAGCAACACACCAGGTAGTAGTCTAGTAACTGTAGCTTAAAATTATATGTATATCATTCAGAAGTAATATGGAAATAATTTTGGGATTGAAATATACTCACACACACAATCACACAGTCACACACACAATCACACACTCACACACACAATCACACACACACACACACACAATCACACACACACACACACAATCACACACACACACACACAATCACACACACACACAGATATTAGGAAAACATGGTTCACAGTGAAACCACTGGTATCAGTATTTCACCTTTAAGTGAGCACTGACCTGAGCATGTTGATTATCATACACTTAATGACATAAAAGAGCATTTGTGAATTATATCTCATTTGTCCCATAATTCTTATATTCATCCACCTGTTGTTCAAATAAAAAGTATGCCCCCTTTTAACACTTCGATTGGCCAACAATGACCATTCCATTGTCATTTCCTGTAATCTCATTGCTTGAGGCTAATCATATGACCATTCTCATTGATATTTGGTTATGAGAGCTCTGGATTGTGTTGGTAGGCTGTGGAATTTTGTAGAATTCTTTTTCATGATATAATTGTTAAGAACACAACTGTTTCCATTGTTTTTGTTTTTTCAGTGGTTTTGAGCACTTTGAATGTTCTTGTGAAAAATATGACTGGAAAATCTCCATCAGTTTGTTGTAAATGACCTCCCATTGGCAAAGCCTTGCTGACTAAGCCGTATCTTACCGTGCATTTCCAAACACTCCGCAATCTCATCCTTCTTAATGGACTCTAAAATCTTAGCAATGACCAAGGTCAGTCTGACTGGCCTATGATTTTCTGTCTTCTGCCTATTTCAGTAGGTGTTCAAGGGGCTAAAGAGAGCTAGAAGTATCTGAATGCACATAGCATTCGTAACAAAACAAGTGAGTTGACAGCACAAGTAAACATCTAGCAGCCAGATCTCTCGAATGTTAAAATCTGGGATCTAAATATTCAAGGGCATGAGACTTTAAGGAAGGATAGAAAGATAGGAAAGGTGGAGTTCTGTTAATAAAGGATGATGACATTGGAACAGTGGACTGCAGTAACCTTATCTTGGAAGATCAAGATATGGAATTGGTTGTGGTAGAGGTGTGAAACGAAGGTAAGAAGTTGCATGTGGGAGTGACATAAAAGGTCCTCTAACAGTAATCACACTGTAAGATGGGGTATACAGGAATGAATAATGGGCCTTATGAAAAAGGTGTAGCAATTATCGTGAGTGATTTTACTCTGCATATAGATTCAGCGAATCAAATTGGCAAAGATAATCTAGGTTTTGAATTCCTGGAGTGTTTTCAGGGTAGTTTCTTGAAGCTGTATATTTTTGGAGCCGTTTGAGAAGGAAATAAAATTGATCTGGGAATGTGCAATGAAACAGGATTAGTTAATGACATCATGGTGAAGGCCCCATGATTGGAATGGCCATAATATGATTGAATATTGCCATACATTTGAGGGAGATGAGAATGGATCTAAAACTATTGTTTTCGACTTAAATAGGGCAATAATGGGAGTATGTCTGGCTGACTAATGTGAACTTGGAAATTAGGTAACGAGATAGACTAGGAGAGATGGTGAAAAAAAATTGAAGAGGATGTTTCAGAAAACTCAGAAAAAGTACCTTCCAGTAAGAGAGATGCCAAGGTAAAGGTGTGGCGTCTGGAGCTAAATATAGATACAATCGTATTGAAAGTAAAGCATTAAATTTCGAAAGGCGAGTGGCATATCAGAAAAGTGGGTAGAGTATAAAGAAGAACAAAAAACAACTTAAAAGATTGATATAAAGGGAAAAATTGAGTAGAAGAGAAAGTTAGCTGGTAAAAAGAAATGCAACAATCCTGTACAGATATTGAAGTAAAGTAATTGTTGGTCTCTAGAGATTACTAATTCCATAGATTCAATGGAAAATAGAAAATGGCACATGATTTGAACTGATGTTTTGTGTTTGTCTTAACTGTAAATGACACAAATAACGTTCCAGAAATAATTGTGAAAAGCAGAGATAAATCTCCTAAGAAAAGATACCGGCAAAATTAATACAACTAAAATCCGGCAGGTCCTGATAGAGTTAATCCTAGTGTCTTAAAAGAAGAAGTGGTTGTTGAAATAGAAGCAACGATGGTTTAAATTTTCCAAAATTCCTTAGATCCTGGAAAAGTCACATCAGACTGGAAAACTGAGAATGTGACTCCCTTTCAGATCATACATCATAGAATCCCTACAGTGTGGAAACAGAGTCTTGGGCCCAACAAGTCCATACTGATCCTCAGTGCATCCCACCCAGACCCATCTCCCTATAACCCACCTAATCGACACATCCCTGAACACTACGGGCAATTTAGCATGGCCAATTCACCTAGTCTGAACATCTTTGGACTGTGGGAGGAAACCAGAGCACCCGGAGGAAACCCACGCAGACACAGGGAGAATGTGCAGAGTATGCACAGTCGCCTGAGGGTGGAATTGAACCCGGGTCCCTAGCGCTGTGAGACAGCAGTGCTAACCACTGTGCCGCCCCATAATTATTATCTCCCCGGCAGGGAATTGAACCCCAGTCTCCCGCGTGACAGGCAGGGTACTAACCACTATACTACCGAGGACTTCACTTTTATTTAAGAACGGGAGGAAACAGAGAGCAAGAAACTACAGATCAGTTAGCTCAACATCTGCTGGAGGGAAAATGCTGGAATATTTTCTTATGGAGGATATAACAAGGCATTTAGAAAAAATCTCAATTCAGTCAGGCAAACCAACATGGTTTTGTGAAAGTGAATTCTGGCGTGGCTTAAGTTACTGGAGTTTTTTGAGGAAGTGACAGGTAATGTTGGTAAAAAGAATCTGGATGTGCTGCATTTAGATTTCTAGAAAGCATTTGATAAGGAAACACATGAAAGAAAATTAGAGCTCATGGTATAAGAGATAACATAATCGTGTGGTAGAGATTTTGTTGGCTGACTGGAAAACAGAAATGATATAAATGGATTATTTTCAGATTGACACGTTAAATACCACAGAGATCCGTACTTGGGCCTCAACTATTTACAGCTTACAGAAAGAATTATTTCTATGTATGATCACAAAATTTCTGAAGATGCATTTATAGGCTGGAGGGTAAGTTGTGAAGAAGTTATAATAAATCTGCAAAGGGATGTAGATAGGTTAAGTAAGTGGACAAAAATTGGAAAAAAGAGTATGATAAAGGAAAATGTGCATTTGATCACTTTGAAATGAAGAATAGAAAAGCAGCATTATTTAAATTGCAGGGCTCTGAGATGTCGAGGGATCAGGGTGTCCAAGTACATGAGCCACTAAAAGTTGGCAAGCGATTAAGAAGTCAAATGGAATATTGCTTATTGCAAGTGAAATTGAAAATAATGAAGGCAGTTTTATTGTATAGAGCACTGGTGAGGCCACGTTTTGGTTTCCTTGTTTAGTAATGAATGTAAATGCATTAGCCAGTTCACAGAACGTTCACTCAGCTGATACCTGGGAAGTGGGTTATATCTTACGATGAAAGATTGAGCAGTCTGGGCCTGTATCCATCAGAAAATAGAAGGATAAGCGGTGATCTCAATGAGCAATGCAAGATCCTGAGAGAACTTGACAGGATGGGTGAAAAAAAGGATGTTTTGCCTTGTGGGAGGGTGTAGAACCCAAGGAGACGATTGAAAAATTGAGGTCTTTCACTAAAGACAGAAAAGAACAGTTGGGCAGCTTGGTGGCTTAGTGGTTAACACTGCTACTTCATCAGAGACCATGTTCAATTCCAGTCTCTGGTGACTGGCTGTGTGGAGTTTGTACATTCTCCCTTGTCTGCATCGGTTTCCTCCCACAGTCCAAAGATGTGCAGGTTAGGTGGATTGGTCATGCTAAATTGTCCATAATGTCCAGGGGTGTGTAGTTTCAGAGGATTAGCCATGGGAAATGCAGAGTTACAGAGATAATGTAGGGGGTGAGTCCTGAGTGGGATGCTCTTCAGAGGGTTGGTGTGGACTTCGGGTGAAAGGCCTGTTTGCACACTGTAGGGATTCTATGATTCTAAAAGAGTTCTTTTCTCTGAGAATGGTGTGCGTCTAGAACACAATTCCCTAAAGGATGGCAAAAGTAGCTTTATTCAATACTTCGAAGGCCAAGATAGTTATATTTTTGACTAACAAGGGCGTCAAAGGTTATTGGATGTAGCCATGAATGTGAAATTGAGGCAGATTAACCAAGATCTTGTGGAATTGTAGATTTGTGAATCTTGTGGATCTTGTGGGTGTATATGAGGGGCTAACTCCTGTTCCTTTTACACACGTTTGTACATATGCTCCCAACGGGAACTTGTTCAGATCAGATCTTGTCCGTTATGATTTTGCTGACATGAAATGCTAAAATGGTAATTCCAGTGTCTACTCAGCTTTGTTCAACCATTGGATTTCTCTCTAAATGAGTCCTTTAAGCTAGCATGAAAAATGGAATGACTGATCAAATGGAGAAAGCACACTGGCTCTGATGGTGGCAATCATGTGTGAATGGGTTGTGGAGGCCTAGAATGAAATCAGAACAGAAATTTTTGTCAAATAGTTGGGGAGAAAAGAGTGGCATATCCAATATACTTGATGGAACAGAAGATTATTTCTGTAATGATATGGCTGGTGACGATGTGATTACTAATGTTTGTCTTGATCCATATAAAAATGCCATTTCTAGAAGCAGAATGGGACATGGCAATGAGACAAAAGATGATTCTTTATGGATTTTGATACACGTTCAATGCATGCTGTTGCTACTAAGTATTATGCTTTTCTGTACTATGAGCAAAAATGAGTGAAATGATATAAATTTGTATATAGGACTTCTTGTTCTTGATACATTTGGTGAAGTTAGTATTCAGAAATTGACTTCTGCCTCTGCGGACATTATTTATTTAGTAAAAGTAAGGATTTAAAATACTTTTGGGTGCTTTAGTTTCATCATGTCCACACTCAAAGGAAGCACAGTCT